GCAAGACGGAAATTTATTTCTCTTTATAGCATGACAGCCCAGAGGTAGACAGGCCAACAAGGGGCGGGAGAGGTTCTGTCATTTCCAACCTGCATCTTCCACCACTGGGTTCAAACGGTGCCTCAGCTCTGACCATTGTATCAGAATTCCAGTCAATAGGAAGAAGACAATCTGCCCCTTCCTTCTAAGGTCATTCTTTAAGTCTGCATAGAACGCTGATGCTCAGATCCCATTAGCCAAGTTTAGTCACATGGCCATACTATCTGCAAAAGAAGCTGGGAAATATAATCTTGCACTTGGCTAAAGTTGTGGGGGTTAGTTGTAGAAGGAGAGAGTAGATACTGCTCTGTCAGAGCCCACCATCTGGCCACCCCAAGCAGGGAACACAGTCAGCAGCCCTGGAAGGGAGGCATCTGGGCACCGCACCAGCTCCGAGCCCAGGATCTCTGAAGGATGAGGTGTGGATGGGATCCGATGGTCTAGTGACCTGTAAACTAAAAGACAGATAACCTGCTCCTCTTACTCTCCGTAGACAACAGTGGAGGAGGAACAGGATAAACTCAGTTAAAGCATCCACTTGGATAGACCCTTTTGTTATGATATACTGTCCTTTTTCATCTCTTATTACAGTCTTTGGTCTAAAATCTAGTTGGTCTGATGTAGGATGGCTACTCCAGCTTTCTCTTGGTGTCCATTAACACGATCAATGGTTCTCCACTTCCTCACTTTCCATCTGGAGGTGTCTTTGAGTCCAAACTAAGTCTCTTGGAAGCAGCATATTGATGGGTCTTGTTTTTTAATCCATTCTGATACCGTGTCTTTTGGTTGGAGCATTTAGTCCATTTACATTCAGAGTAATTATCGGAAGATATGAATTTAGTGCCATTGTATTATTACCTGTAAAATCACTGTTCCTGTAGATGGTCTCTGTTCTTTTCTGGTCTGTGTTACTTTTGGGCTCTCTCTCTGCTCAAAGGGTCCCCTTTAATATTTCTTGCAGGACTGGTTTGGTGTTCACAAATTCCTTTAGTTTTTGTTTGTCCTGGAAACTCTTTATCTCTCCTTCTATTCTTAATGACAGCCTTGCTGGATAAAGTATTCTTGGCTGCATCTTTTCCCCATTTAGCACGCTGAATATATCATGCCCATCCTTTCTGGCCCACCAGGTCTCTGTGGACAGGTCTGTTGCCAGCCTTATGTGCCCACCCGTGATAGGCATGAAGGAGGGCACCTGATGTAATGAGCATTGGGTGTTATACGCAACTGATGAATTACTAAATCCTACCTCTGAAATTAATAATACCATATATGTTAGCTAAATTGAGTTCACATGAACATTTTTTTAAAAAATCCACTTGGAACAAGAAAGAAAGGCAAACACCTAGCCGTCACTGGATCTTATCAATTACCAAATCTAGCTGGGCAGGAATTGCAAAGCTGTTTCTCCACAGAGGAGTAAGTTCTTGGGTGATGCCTCTGGCAGCCACTGGTTCTGCTCTCTGGGGAGGACCTCCCCTTTCCATTAGCCTATGCGGAGTCTGGTGTTGCCTCCTGGGAAGTTATCCCTTACCCAGGATCCTCTAAGGCTGCCCTGGAGAACATGTCCTTGCAGACCTTACAGCTTCTTTTTTTTTTTTTTTTAAGATTTTATTTATTTATTTATTTATTTATTTATTTATTTATTTATTTGAGAGAAAGAGAGAGAGACAGAGAAACAGCATGAGAAGGGAGAGGGTCAGAGGGAGAAGCAGGCTCCCCGCTGAGCAGGGAGCCCGATGCGGGACTCGATCCCAGGACTCCGGGATCATGACCTGAGCCGAAGGCAGTTACTTAACCAACTGAGCCACCCAGGTGCCCGACCTTACAGCTTCTATAGACCTCTTCCTGCTGGCGCGTATCTGGGAGGCTGGTCAAACCAGCTTTTGGTGACCAGGTTTGTAGTTTCTTTGCCAATACAACACCCTCAAAATCTTTAAAAAAAATATTTTATGTATTTATTTAAGAGAGAGAGAGAGAGAGAGCTTGAGCTGGGGGAGGGGCTGAGGGAGAGGGAGAGGGACAAGCAGACTCCCCACTGAGCTAGGAGCGCAACAGGGGGTTCAATCCCAGGACCCTGAGATCATGACCTGAGTCGAAGTCAGACACTTAACCAACTGAGCCACCCAGGTGCCCCCAACACCCTCAAAATCTTTTTTTATTTTATTTTATTTATTTATTTGTCAGAGAGAGAGAGAGAGGCAGAGATAGAACACAAGCGGGGGAGTGGCAGAGAGAGAGGGAGAAGCAGGGTCCCTGCTGAGCAAGGAGCCCGATGAGGGGCTCGATCCCAGGACTCCGGGATCATGACCTGAGCCGAAGGCAGACGCTTAACTGACTGAGCCACCCAGGCATTCCCACCCTCAAAATCTTAAAAGGCTTCTGACTGGTTCCATATTTGAGTAACCACAGCCAATGGTCTCATAGAGCCATAATTTCTGTGCCTGATACTTTCTATTCTCTCTCAAACTGCTGGTGGCTATCTTGAGGCCATCTGAAAAAATATGCTTGGCTGTGAAGGGAGCCTCCCTTATTCTGCCCACTGGGCCAGTTCCCACTGTTGCTGAACAGAGTGTGCTTGGGAAAGGTTTGGAACCACAGGTACAACCCTGGCGAAGGCTGCCTCTTCCAAACCACCTCTTATAACCAGCCTGAGAGCCCCTCTCCTGTAGGTCTCTGCTAGTAGTTGCAAGCAACAGCCCAGACACACTAACATTCTGAGTGTTTCCATCCAGTTTCTGTGACTTATAGGCTCTATTAAGGCATTATAGATGGCTGCCACACCATATGTTTTGCTGTAATATAACAATGGTCACCACCTTACCAAGATACAATACTTTTCTTTGCTATCTGCTGCCCAATCTCTAAACCAATGTCACTTGCTTTGGACTTTTTAGAGCAGTGCCACTTACAGATACTAATTCTGCATTCATTAGGATGCATGTTTGGTTGCTGTACCAAAGGCCCACTTTAAGAATGACTTAAACAAGAAAATTTATTTCTCTCTCATATAAAATAGTCTGTAGACAGTCTAAAGCTGGTAGGGTGACTTTGAAACCTTTAACAAGCATCTTCCACTTTGGGTACAAGATAGCTGCTCTAGCTCCTGCCATCACATCAACATTCCAGCCAGCAGAAGGGGAAAAGGAAGAGGAGGAACCACGCCTCTTTCTTTTAAGGCCTGACCTGGACGTTGCTCACATCCCTTCCACTCGCATCACTTTGGCCAAAACTAGTCACAAGGCCTCATTTAGCTGCAAGGAAGATTGAGTCTTTATTACCAGCAGCCACTCCAGCTAACATTCAAGTGATTTTACTACTAAAAGAAGAAGAGGAAAATAGATGGTGGGAAGCCACTGGCAGTCTGCCACAGACTGTTTTCATCCTCATTTTACATTGGTAGAAACAGGCTCAAAGAAAACAAGCAATGCTTTTTAAGGTCAATATGGCAAACAAACGGCAGAACATGAATTTTAATCAGGTCCATCTGACCGTAAAACAGGCTTTCCATCACATCCAGCCAAAATATCTTGGTCATCAAGGTGCCCACTGTTTACTTGGAGATACAGGACCTTCCCACGTGAATAGTTATGTAAATGTCAGCTCCGTGCACCCTGAGATAGGCGCACAGAGCCTGCTCTATAAGGAGATCAGTGCGTGAGAGTGAGGCCATCAGGGAAGACTGTCTTAAAGAAGAGCCCTCCTACTGGCCCTGTAGATGGAACAGGCCTGAGGGAGAGGGGGAATGGAGCATCGCAGGAGAAGGCAATGGTGTGTTCTGCACCTGTTCTGTATCTGGCTTGGTTTTAAGGTGGCCCAGAGCTTAAGGGAGGGTAGAGGCCTGCCAGTTCCGATGCATCACGTCTCTCCAAGGATGGTCCACTTGATCCTTCCACCAGTTGAGGCGTCCCCTTTGCTGTGCCTTAGACATCCATCCTCTGGGACAAGACAGGAATAGGCCACAGGGATCCTGCAGAAGGAGATCTGCACTCACCCCCAGTACTTACCCAAGACACACTCGGAAAGGAAAGTCCCTTCCCTGACCCGTTCTCCCCCGCCCTCCCTGGAGGCAGGACAGGGGCTTTGAGGGGTGAAGAGAAATGTGTTTGGCACATCCAGCAAGAAAGCCAGTAATCCATTACTGAGTGTCCACTCCAGGGCCCGAGACTGGGATGGAAGAGGCTGGAAGAAGGAGAGGAGGGGCGGGCAGGGAGAGGGGAGCTAGAGCAGCTGGGTCAGCATTCCCGATTTGGACACTGACTCAGGCCCCAGGAATGCCAAGGAAGGGGGGTGGGCAGCCACCAGAGCCGGGCTGGGATCCTGTTGGCACCAGGAGATGTAGCGACAGCACGCACAGAGGGATGTTAGGACCGGGGCTCCCACACTCTGGGACCCACCTCTGAACCACCGGTAGAAACAGATGTCTCTCACCCTGGGCCCTCGAGCCCACCGCACAACTTCGCGGTGATTCTCCTAGCTCTCCACCTTCCCGGCCATCCCACTCCAACTCCTCCAGCAGGGAAAGGGACAGACTCCTGGGACTCAGATGGGGACATCTGGACACACAATGGCCACTCTCCTGGGACCTCCCACAAACCCCTTGGCCCCAGCCTCCCCGCTGGCTCCAACTTGCCCTTTCTAACTGCAGCACCACCCACGACGGAAGTTTCTAAGAGGAAGAACGTTGAGCTCAACTCGCCTCCATTTTCCCTCCTTTGGCACCTGACAAAGATGAGAAGGAACCCAGGACTCCGAGAGCCCGCCTCCTCCCACCGGCCCCCCCCCAGTGCCCCCCAGTGCTCCAAGCCACCTCCCCCGTAGCAAGGTCCTTCAAGTTTGTCCTTGAAGACCCAGGAGGGAGCCCAGGACCAGGCCTCAAGATTCCAGGTGCCCCCCTGCCCTCCCCACCCAGCCCCAGGCTCTGGGCGGGAGCAGCTGAGCCTGTGGGGCCCTCCTCCTGCTGCCCGACACCCAATCAGAGAGAAACCGATCTGGGGAGGGCCGGGCGCCAACGGCCGGGCCCAGAATAGTGCGGTGCGGCCAGTGTTGCGCACTTGCTCTCCAGACGGTCGGGGTTGGCCACATGGAGCACGCACTGCGCCGGGTACAGGGGTCCCGGGGGACGGGCGCTGGGGCAGCCGAGGCCAGGGGACTGCGAGCACACCACACTGTGTGAATGTGCGTGCGTGTGCGTGTGTGTGTGCGCGCGCGCGCGATCTGGATTTTTCTCTGTGTGTGTGTGTGTGTGTGCGCGCGCGCTCGCGTGCGTGCGGTCTGGATTTTCTCTGTGTGTGTGTGCGCGCGCGCGACCTGGATTCTCTGTGTGTGTGTGTGTGTGTGCGCACGTGCGTGCGGTCTGGATTTTCTGTGTGTGTGTGCGCGCGCAGGTGGGCGCCTGTGAGCCTATGGGCTCTGTGTGTATGTGTATTCTTCGTGTAAGTGACGTGTGTGGTTGTGTGTGGATCTGGGAATGGTTGAATGTGTGTTTTTCTGAGTTTGTATAAGTGTTTGTGTATGGGTGTGTGTGGGAGGGGTGCGTGTGTGTGCGGGCATGCACACACACACACACACACACACACACACGGTGGGAAAAGGAGCTCCCTGTGGTTTGGGAATGTGGGCCATGTTCCCACGCCTTCAGACCTTCTTCTCCCTCACAGAACCCATCCTGGAGCCACCTTGGGGGACCCGAGCATCAAGGTAGGTGGGCCACTTCCTTTGTCTCCCACCTCTCTGGGCCCCCAATCTCCTCCACTTTCATAGCCGGGCTTCTGTCTCTCTCTCCTTTTCCTTCTTTTTCCTGTTTCTTCTTCCTTTGTCCCTCACTTCCTCCTTCCTCTTTCAGAAGAAAAAGTGGGGGGATCTAGAGTCCGAAGACTCTGACCCTAGTTCCAACTTTATCACTTACCAGCTGTGTGAACTGTGGCAAGTTGCTTAACCTCTCTGATCACAGGTCCCTCTTTAGTAAAATAAGGGTGATAATAATGCCTCCCTTATAAGATTTCTATGAGCTTTGAGTGAGAAATATATAGGAGAAAAACCCTTGGGGAGCTTGCAAATATTAAATATTATTATTGGTAACATTTTAATTGATTTTGTTGTATTACTCCCTATTAACCAAACAGGCCCCATTCCCCCTTCCAGAGATGAGCTTCCTAGAACAAGGAGGGAACACTTCATGGCCATCGCCGGCCATGACCACTGGCTCAGAGAGAAGCCATGGGAAAGAGGGGGCCAAGGCCTCGAGATGGACAAGGCAGGAGACTGTGGAGGAAGGGGAGCTGCCGGGTCTGGGGGAAGGTGAGGCCCAGGCCAGTTCTGGGGAGTCGGGAGTGGGGGCAGTGTGATGTCCCAGAGCCTGGGGCTGGGGCTCCCCTCTGGATCCCTCCAAAGCACAGAGGTGGACCCAAGCCTCATCCTGTAGCCTCAGTCTCTCCACACGGGAAAGGTCAACTGCATTGCAGAGCCAGGGGTCCGGCACGGCCAACTCAGGACAGAACCACTATCCTGTGTGACTCTGAGACTCAGCTTTCTCACCTGCAAAATGGGGCCACAGCATCCAGGCTTCCCAAGGCTGCTGCGAGGTTGACCCGAGCCAGCAGATAAGAAAGTGCTCCAGAAGATGGACTTACTGTCCTCTCCCCCTCCAACAGATCCAACAGATTCCCAGGCCAGGCCACCTGCTGAGTACACCGGGCTGGAGGCCACATTCCCCAAGGCCACACACTTGTCCCAAGATGCTCCTTTGGCCCGGCTGGGCTCCCCACCCGCAGAGTGGGACATCTTCCCCCATGATGATGCAGCCTCAGCGGTAGGCTCCAGCACAGATGATCTGGAGCTGGACATAGAGTTCTCAGCCACTGCGGGCTGGGGGTATGAGCTTGGCCTGGTGGAAGAGAGACCTTCCCTGTGTCCCTCCCCGCGGGCACTGTTTCCCAGGCCAGGCTGGGACGATGAGCTGCAGAAGCCGGGGGCCCAGGTCTACATGCACTTCATGCAGGAGCACACCTGCTATGATGCCATGGCGACCAGCTCCAAGATGGTCATCTTCGACACCAAGCTGGAGGTACGGCCATGGCTTTGCCCCACCTCCCTCCTCAGGGGCTGCAGCCCCCGCTCACACCCTCCGGGACACCCTGCCGGGCACCCCCTGCAAATCCCCTTCCAGAACTCCTTCTGAACACCCGGGAGGCCAGGGCCGGGGAGGGCTTCTCTCCCTAATTGTCATCCCAGCTCTGCCATTTAGTATCTGTAGGATCTTGGGTCAGTCACTTTACCTCTCTTGTCTCTAAAATAGGGATGGGGGGCGCCTGGCTGGTTTAGTCGGAAGGGCATGCAACTCTTGATCTTGGGGTCATGAGTTCGAGCCCCATGTTGGGTGGAGAGATTACTAAAAAAAAAATAATAACAAATACAAAATGAAATAAAATGGGGACAGGAATGCCTGCTTTGCCCTACAAGCTTCGGAGGACTCCTGGGACAACCCAGGATAAATGGGAGCATTTTGCGAACCCCAGAGTATGTGGAAGACATAGCAGGGTGGCCTAGGACAAACAGCAGGGAACTCTTGGTAACGGAAAATTAGGATGAGCTCTAGTCCCTGCTCTTCCACTAGGCTAAGTTATGGAATGCCTGATTCCATTCTTACCATCACAGAGAGCAGGCCAGTGTTTCCAGAAGCACAGCATATGGACCATCCACAGTACACTATTTGATTCTAGTGGTAGATGAACAAATATATTTATTTTAGTAGCTTTGCATTTATTTTAATACGCATTAGAAAAATCCACCCAGAACAGATACAAGCAGTATAAGTGGTATTAGTTAGGATGAGGCCACACGAGTCACCGTCAGATTTATTTAGAGAAAAGTATTTTGTAAGTATTACGTAAGTATACCTCCAGTGCCTAGATGAGCAAAAACTATACTGTGTGTGACTGTCCACATATGACTTACGAGTGGGAACGCTGGGTTAGTTTCCCACTCCGGGGCGAGCCAGAGGAAGGGGTCCCTGCCACGCCTCTGGCCACCAGCAGCCTTAGCTCTGAGCAAGTGCGCCTGACAAGGACCACGTCCAGTGGATGCCAAGGCTTAGGAAAGGCAGTGAAGCTCACGTACAGGAGACCCTGGGAGAAGGCCCCAGGGAAGGCCCGTGGTGGGGACAGTGTGCCACTGAGGGGCAGGGAGAGACTCACCCCCACCATTCTCTCTGGCCCTCAGATCAAGAAGGCCTTCTTCGCCCTCGTGGCCAACGGCATTCGGGCGGCACCTCTGTGGGACAGCAAGAAGCAGAGTTTTGTGGGTGAGGAGGGGCGGGGGGCAGAGGTGGTAGGGAAGGGGAAAAAGAGATCTTTGGTGGAGATTCTGGGGCTGAGCTCTGATGGCCACAGCCTTGAGCAGACCCTCGGGCCAAGCCAAGCTGGGGGCTGGCACTGGGAACATCAGATCCCGGTCTGTGGCCACCGGGTGGGAGACCCCACGCATGGAGTAGGTGTGACCAGCTGACCACTGCAGCTCTACTCCCCCGTGGGAGTATGACATCCCATGTCATAGGTGCTAGATAGGAAGAGAGGAAAGGGAGAGGAAGAAATTAGGAGAATAGAAGGTGGGGGAGGAGAGAAATGACAGGGGAAGCATAGAAGGGACGACCCCCATTTCTCAGGCATGGGAGGGGCTGCCCTGCTCCCTTCTTTCCACAGCTCCCACAGCTGTCTCAGTCCTCGGCCCCTGGCAGAGCGGGGAAGGGGGTCCAACCCCTCAACCAGCCTCTCACCACAAGGCCCCAGGCTGACCCCCCCCCTCCCCTCCTGACCCCGCAGGGATGCTGACCATCACGGATTTCATCTCAGTGCTGCACCGCTATTACAGGTCCCCGCTGGTGAGAAGTGGGCTGGGGGTCCCCGGGGGCTCCCATCTGGGCTGGGACGGAGAGTGGCTCAGGGAGCCTGGTGTCCCGAGGGGCCCATGTCTGACTTCTGGAGTCCTGTCTGTTCTCTAGGTCCAGATCAGTGAGATTGAAGAACATAAGATTGAGACCTGGAGAGGTGAGCTGGCGGGGGTGGGGGGTGGGGGGGCGCCTAGAAGGGGCTGAGGGTGTGTGTGGGTGAGCGGGGGGGCCAAGCACCTGGGGTGGAGGATGGGCAGTGGGGATTTCCTGGAGGGAGCAAGGGAGGGACCAGAGGGAGCCCAGAGGGCCTGAGGGAAGAAGACAGTCTGGGAGCTGCCAGGTGACTGGCAGGGCAGCCAGCTCCCTGGGCCTGACTCTGGCTTTGCCTACAGAGATCTACCTTCAAGCCTGCTTCAAGCCTCTGGTCTCCATCTCTCCCAACAGAAGGTAAGTGTCCCCAGCCACCCACCTGCGCCTCCTTTTCCCGAGCAGTCCTCTTCCCCAGCTCCTCAGTTCTGAACTCATGGGCTCATCCTGCAGGGGACAAGGCAGCCTGTTCACCCTGTCCTCCTCTTGCAGGGGCTGGGGTGGAGGGCGTATCTCCCCCAGACCCACTGCTCCCCCCTCTGCAGCCTGTTTGAAGCTGTCTACACCCTCATCAAGAACCGGATCCACCGTCTGCCGGTCCTGGACCCGGTCTCAGGCGCCATGCTCCACATCCTCACACACAAGAGGCTGCTCAAGTTCCTGCACATCTTTGTGAGCCTGGGCACAGCCTCGGGGTGCCCTGGGGGGCTAAACAGTCCTTGGCCCAACGGACTGAGGAGGGAGCAGCTGGGAGCCCTCGGGATGCTGCTCCACCCTGATTCCCACGTGTCCCTTACCCACCCAGGGCACCCTGCTGCCCCAGCCCTCCTTCCTCTCCCGCGCCATCCAAGATCTGGGCATCGGTACATTCCGGGACTTGGCCGTGGTGCTGGACACAGCGCCCATCCTGACGGCACTGGACATCTTTGTGGACCGGCGCGTGTCTGCGCTGCCCGTGGTCAATGAAGCTGGTACCTGCACCCAGGAGTGGGGCTGGCTAGGGTGGGGTGGTGGCAGGCAGGGGTCTGTGGGCATCAGCTCAGGACCCAGGGTAGAGCTGAGGCTCGAAGTTCGCCTGCTTTGAGTCTTAGAGCCATTCCTTAGCCTCTCTGTGCCTCGGTTTCCTCATGTGTGACATGGGAATCTTAACAACACCTATCCTCTGACTTTAGGGGATGATTTGAAAGGAATATATGCAATAAAATGAGCGTGGTGAGAGGAAACAAGAGATGAGGCTTTTAATGTTAATTCATCCTAAAATGGGCCAGGGGATCCAGCCAGATCTCCCCTTTTCTCACTCTGAAGAGGGGTTAGAAGGACTCCATTTCTTTGGTTGAACCATGGCTGTAAACCATTTCAAAGTTAAAATTGCTGTAATGATGCTAGATACCAAGAAATGTTTTGATTTATTTTTGATTATGAAAAATTTCGAATGTATGAACATTGTAGGAAAAAACGTATAATGAAATCCACCTATCCTTTACCTGGACTAACTCCTGTTAACATATTGCTGTAACCAGTTGTGTTTTGTTTCCCCCCCCTTTTTTTGCTGAAATAATTTAAATTACAGAGATCATGTCATTTCCCCCCTACCCCTTCAGTCTGTACCTCTTAAAATCAGTATATTTCCCATATCACCTAACAAAACTCTAAATAATTTATTAATATTATCTAAGAGCTGATCCTAATTCTCATTTGCTCACCTTCCCTGAGAATATCTTTTTTTTTTACAGTTGATTTGGACAAACCAGGATCCAGTTAAGGTCCATGCTTGCATTTGCTTATTTTGTCTTAAGTCTCTTTTAACGTGGAACGGTTCTGTCTTCACTTAATTTCCATGACATTACCATGGGTCGGTTGTCCTATAGAATGTCCCACCTCCAGATTCGTCTCTGCTTCCTACAGGTGGCTTAAGCGTTGTTCCTCTATTCCCGGGTTTCCCCGTAAACTGGAAATTAGATCTAAAGCCTTGGTCAGATTCCGGCTACCCATTTGAAGCTAGGGTATTTCAGAGGTGACACTATGTACTCATGTTGCATCACATCAGGCGGCATATCAACCTGTCTGTCTGTCCATGATGCTGTGTGACCTGTGGCTTCAGGTGGTGACAGCCCGATGTGTCATTTTTTTTTAAAGATTTTATTTATTTATTTATTTGAGAGAGAGAGAGAGAGAGAGAGAGAGAGAAACAGCATGAGAGGGGATAGGGTCAGAGGGAGAAGCAGGCTCCCCGCCGAGCCGGGAGCCCGATGCGGGACTCGATCCCGGGACTCCAGGATCATGACCTGAGCTGAAGGCAGTCGCCCAACCAACTGAGCCACCCGGGCGCCCCCGATGTGTCATTTTTGAAGCCAGTAGCCCGGGGAGGGGTGGGGGATGTCCAGTAATTCCTTCTGAAAGCCCACCCCCGGCCCTTGCCCAACGTCCTGGTCCTGATGTGAACCTCTTCCCTTTCTTCCTCTCCCCCCACCCCCCGCCCCCCGCAGGACAGGTCGTGGGCCTCTACTCCCGCTTTGATGTGATTGTAAGTGTCCGCGGGATGGGGAATGAGGGCGCCACAGGGAGAGGCGGTGGGTGTGAGGATCGGTGGAGGGCTATCTGTGGACTAGAGGACCTTTACGAGGGTAGAGGGGCAGTACGTGTGGGTCCGGAGCCTGGCTGAGAGGCTGACTCACACGGCACCTCCCTCCCTGCCCCAGCACCTGGCTGCCCAGCAAACCTACAACCACCTAGACATCAGTGTGGCAGAAGCCCTGAAGCAGAGGACACTGTGTCTGGAGGGAGTCCTTTCCTGCCAGCCCCACGAGAGCTTGGGGGAAGTCATCGACCGGATTGTCCGGGAGCAGGTACCCCATACCCCTGCGTACGCACGCCCAACACATACAGCCCAGTCCTCATGAGCGGCTCCAGCTGTCCCTATACACCCTGTCCTCCCGTTTCGTGGCCATTTCGAGCTCTCGGTGTCCACGCTGGTCTGCAACTGGTCCTGCCCATGGGGCCCCCGTGCTAAGGGCCACAGACAGTTGATCACCCAGAGTGGTCAGAGCCACCCCTAACTGGTTTCTAGGAGACACGCTCTTGCTCCTCCAGTTATGTTCCTTTGATGCCCCCGATTCTTGGCACCCGCCTTGCTGCCACACGGCTCTGACCCCTCACGGACCCTCTGCGGACCCACAGGTACACCGGCTGGTGCTAGTGGACGAGAGCCAGCATCTCCTGGGCATCGTGTCGCTCTCCGACATCCTGCATGCGCTGGTGCTCAGCCCTTCGGGCATTGACGCCCTCAGTGCCTGAGAACATCCGAGTCCTCCCTCCCAGGCCACCTTTCACATGCCAAAGCCAATGAGGGGAGCCAGGGGACCCGGCCTTCGTCTTCCCTCACCCCCATTTGCTGGTTTGGCTCTGGTACAGGTAGGCTCTGCCCTCGGCCATTGATCTTTTGGGGCTCTCAGATCTCAGACCGGGGCACCTCGAGGTTGGGAGTGGCCCAGCTCATTGCTGAGGAGCCCCATGAAAACTCCAAGTGTCAGGACTCACTGTGGGGCCCCCACTTTGTCCCGGTCTCAGCTGAGGTCATGGTGGTCCTCATAAGAGGGATGGGCAGGGGCTGGGGTAAAGGCAAGGGCAGTGATGTGATTTCAGATGCTCTGGGGAGACTGACCTGCCCTCTCACGACTCAATTCCCGCCGGCTCGGAATTCCACCGGAAGGAAGCAAGTTAATAAACCTTTGTTGAATGGAATTTCCATGCTCAGTAAAAACTACGGCCGAAAGGAGGGAGCTTCTAAGTACTCATCTCAGTAAATCTGACACCGTCTCAGACTCTTGGCTGGTAGCATGCTCGCTAGGGGCTCGCACAGATTCCACCTGCTTGGCGGAGCATGGCAAGACGAGGTTCCCCGGATTGGAAAGGCAATCTCCCCCCACAGTGTAGTCACTGTCTTCCCTTCTCTTTTCCCTGCAGGCTTCTCCAGCCTTCCCTAATTGCCCCTGCCTTGCCCATGCTCCCAGAAGCCCTTACGAATGCCCAGTGCACCGTGGGATGGTGAAATGAAGGAGAACGGCTGAGTCAAGCCTAGAGATCTGTGAACCAGAAGCACTGGGATTACCCCAGGGCTGGTGGCTCCGGACCCACCCATGTCACTTTCCCCCCACCTGGTGGGGTGACCAGCCCCAGCAGGGCAGGAAGGCCTCGGCCGGTGGGGCTCGTCAGGAGCTCTGGATTCCTCAGCTTCTGGACTACCTGGGAGTCCCAGCTGTTCCTCCACAACCACTAAGGTGGTTCCGCACCACTGTGCCCCTCCTCCTCCTCCTCCCAACATTGTCATTTCAGGGCTGCTGGTGGTCGCCGTGGAATAGCAGCTCTGGGTGGAGTCTGTTGAGTGGGGTCCTCCCTCCGTTCTCATCCTGAGCACCAGCAAACATTGTTCTCATTCCCCAGGGACAGCCTGGGTTTGGATCACTGTGGATGAACCGTTGAGAAAACACCAAAAAGAAAAAACCACGAATGAACTTGAATTGTGGAAGTTTAACTCCGAAAATGCCAGTCATTTGACCTGAACCTGTGGCAAGACCCCTGTGCTTTCTGAACTCAAAGACACGAGGGAAGGTCTGTGATGGACAAACACTACGACTGGCATTTCTTTGGTGCATAGAGCATTACCCCACCGAAATTTCTTTTTTCATCTTTCATTTATAACAAAACTACAAAGAAGATATGAATTAGTTAATTACGTAGTAAATACAACTCAGTCGACAAACTGTCATCTGCAGGAAACATAACTTTATTTTTCTAACACTGAATGGAGTTTCTATTATGAACCCCGTTTCACCAGGTGGGAGAAATTAATCTCAGTCAGTCTAGGGCTCATCCCCCACCTTTGCCTGGGGTTAAATTCGGTGAGGCGGGGGAAGGCTCTAAGTAGCGTGAGGCTATGTTCCTCCGTCATCATCACCCATGCATGTCAGCACCAGCTAAAACAATCCCATTCCCATCTGGTTGTCTCTGGTTGGTCATTGGTGGGCCTGGCGCCTGTTAGGTTCTCCCTCAGTCCCTACCACGAAGCCTCCTTGGGCCCACTTGCTCTTGGGGCATGAGGACATTCTAGCTCCTGGGCCTGCACCCCTCTGGGCTTCGGGAAGCTCTGCAGGGCCGTCCCAAGCCCATCTGCTCAGACGGACAGCAAGTGGTCTGCTTTATTCTGCATTTTGCTTTATTTCGGCCTCCACCCTGGAAACATAGGGCACAGGGCTCTTCTACCCTTGTCATCTCCAAACCTCTCTGGGGTATTTGTCACACTCCCCCCTCCCTTCAGACACAGCTCCCTTCTCAGGGCCCCTCTTCTCAGGGACCCCAGAACTGTGGACTTCAGAGATCTCCACAGTCTCTTTGCTTTCCCAACCCCATCAACCTATGGCATCTTTACCACTGGGGCCTTTTTATGAACCCACCACGCGTTCTTCCACGTCCACTGTCTGTGTCTTGCGTTTCTTGCCACCTACCTTGAGGGCCAAATTCCAAAACCAAGACCAGGTTTCTGCTGTATCATCCCTTCCCTGTGGCAATGGACACTGTAGGTCTGCTGTCCCGTGGGCAGAGGATAGGCTAGTATTTCTAAAATATGATCCTACTTCATTTACCTCATGGAGCAACGGAGTGGAGACATTTGTGCTTGATGAGTCAGGCAGCAAAAGAGGGCCTTTTCTCATGGATACCCAGCCTCTGTCTCCAACTTTGCCATAACCCACGGGTCAGTGCTGGCACTGCTCTGGCCCTCCCTGGGAAGGCCCCGGGCCTTGGGCTCAAGTGGGATGATGGGGTGGGGGTGCTTCTCTGGGCCTGTCTCAAGTGACAGTGTCCTCGGAGAGCCGGGGGCAGGCTGCCTCCAGCTGCAGATGACCGTAGGGTAAATGTAGCAGGTCAGTCTCTGAGGGGGGGCCCCAGATTACTCCGCATAGGCAGACCTTCAGAAGTCATAGCGCAGGCAGAAGGGGCAGCCTGAGGAAGTCCCTCCTTGCCTTTCCTACTCCCCCTGAGAGTAGATAGGTCTCCAGCCTCCTGGGCCCCACCATGCTGAGGACCCAGCAGTTCTCCCTTGGGCCCTTCTGTGAGGGACCATGCCAGCGCCCTGCCTCAGACCTCCTGCTCGGGTCACAGCCCAGCCCTCCGTTCCCGACAGTCCTCCAGCCTCATGGCTGCTAGAACAGAGGCAAAGGGTTGCAATGGGGATAACTTCTGCCCCGACTCTGAATAAAAGTGTGAAACCCACCCTGCTGGCCCCCCTGTTCATGCCTCTGAACCTGGGGCTGGCCACGTTTTCTAGGCATCATTGGCTCCATGCCCCTGACTCCTGCCCCGACCTCCAAAGCCCCTCCAAGTTTCTGTGTACCCCAGGCTGGACTCTCTACCACTTCTCAGCCCACCCCTTCTCTTCTCTCCCACCATCTCAACAGCTGTCAACCCTGGCAGGGCAACAGGATGCCCCGGGGAGCTTTATAAGATGTAAATTCCAGGGCCGGTGCCTAGAGATGCTAATATCCTGACTTGGTGGGGGGGTACCTGGGCAACTGTATTTATTTTCTGCAGACACTAGAGATTTATGATGCATAACACGTGATGAGCATGATGGCTTGCTGAGAGGTAAGGATGCCTCATTTCCATAATTAGGAAAATCATTTGTCACGTTATTGCATCTATATTATTTGTTATGACTAAGATCTACAAGAAGAGCTGGCACAGCGTAGGAGAGACACGATTTGCTGGCATTCTTGCTGGTCTTCCAAACACACTCATGCTCCTGAGGGCGGCCAACCTGGTGCTTCCCAGGCTGACAGGAGCCCCGGGAGCCATTGCTGAAGATCCAGAATTCAGTACAATGTCCCGTATGTCCATCTCATGATGACAGTTGTCAGAATTTTTATTTAACACGCATCTTTTTTTTTAAGATTTTATTTATTTATTTGAGAGAGAGAGAATGAGAGAGAGCACAAGAGGGGGGAGGGTCAGAGGGAGAAGCAGACTTCCTGCTAAGCAGGGAGCCCGATGTGGGACTCAATCCCGAGACGCCAGGATCATGACCTGAGCCGAAGGCATACGCTTAACTGACTGAGCCACCCAGGTGCCCGACAAGCTGATTTCTTACCCCAAATTATGGATCTTACCCAAAAATATGGATCCTAATTTGGCCAACAAGTTCAAATTAGCTGCAATGGCGGTAAGGAGATTTGCACATTCTTTTCAACCAAAGGTGTATCTGCTGTGCTGAGTTAACATTCGCTTGCTTCTCCGCAATGATCCTAAATCCTATTGTTCTTCTTTCCTTACAGAGGCGGGTCAGGGTGGGTAATCAGGGAGCCCAGCTGTTAACATTGCTTCCCTGTTACTTATGTGGGCAGCGCAGGGTCCCTGAGACCGCAGACCCCTGGTGGTCCGAAGGAGCAGCCCACTGGGAAGGCAGAAGTGGCTCTGGTTGACTTTGTGACAGAAATCCCTGCCCCCTCTGAGCCCGGCTCCCACACTCCGCATGCATAAGGCGCTCTCACAGCTGAATCCCGGCACAGGTGGGGTCAAGAGCTATGCTGTTATAATCAGGAATTCCTCCGAACTCTCCAGATTTCCGGACTCAGTAGGAAAAGCTCTGCATCGTCCCTTCTTCTTCCTTCCCCTGCCTACTATTGCAGCCTCTTCTCATTCAACAAACTTTTATTAATCGCCTCCTACGGGCTAGACACAGAGTTGGTCACCTGGATCCAAACTGAAAGGAGCTTGATTTGTGCCCTCCAGGGGGTGCACAGCTGGTTGGGGAGACAGTCGGGTCTCCAACATGGTCAACAGGCAGAGCACTCAGTTCTGTAACATGGAGGGGGGGGGGAGGCAGGGAACGCGAAGTGCTTGTGCTCCCCCAGAGAGGTCAGGGGAGGCTTATTCAAAGGCAGTGACATTTGAGCTGAGCCCTAAGGAAGAGCAAGTTCTCTGGGATGGCATCACAGTTGCTGAAGAGAGTGTTCCAAGGAGACGGGACATTAAGAACAAAGTATTGAGGCCAGAAAGAGCGGAATGTGCTCAGGTCTATACAAGGAATTGGGGTTAGGCTGTGGAAAGGGTTTCTGGGCAGGGAGTAGGGGTGGAGGGTAGGGTGCCAGAGTCTTCCAAGCCAGAGTAAGGACTTAGGACTTTGCTTCAGGGCTGAGAGAAGCCACTGAAGGATTTTAATAAGGACAATGACATCTTTCTTTTTTTTTTTTTAATCTCACCAACATAAGAAATTCGACTTTAGTTTTCTATGACCCAGCAGAAATGTACCACCGGGGCTGGGACTATGAGGCTGGGACTCATCGCCTCGTCAAACCCGCGGTACTCTCGGTCTCGCCAGCCCACTTGCCTTCTGGTCGGCTTCCTGTGCTGAAGAGGCTGGAAAGCTGAGAACTACAATCCCCATACTGCCCTGCAGCTCGAGTTCCAGGCCGGCCCTGGGTTCCACCTCTCGGTTGTTTGTGAGATGTCGGTGGAAGGTGGTAGCAGGACAGAGGCCATGCTTCTGCTCCTCCCAAGGTCGCTGTGTCGCTGTCGCTTTGGGGGGGGGCAGTCATGGGCCAGGAGTGGGGTCAGGGAGGACGCTTTTTCTCCCCACCGGCAGCACTGACCCGGGAGACACGGAGGCACACTGGGGCCAGCAGCTGTGGCTACAGCTTCGCGACACTCATGCTCCTGAGGGCGGCCAACCTGGTGCTTCCCAGGCTGACAGGAGCCCCGGGAGCCATTGCTGAAGATCCAGCCAAGAACGCCTCCATCCATTCTGGCAGCACTTCACTGCCTATATCAAAGCACTTTGTGTTCAAAAGAGGGGGCCCCTCTTGGGGGTCCGGAGGATTGTTCTGCAGGTCCTACTCAGGCTGGGCTTCAGCAGCACCAGCTGAAGGTCCAGGAAAGCACAGGTGTTCTCACTTTCTACAGAGGGAGAGGGCTCTGCCTCCCAAAAGATCCCTAAGTGGGGAGAGGCTGTTCCCCAAACACAGCAAGGGGCTCAGATGCTGGGTCATCAAAGAGAATGACAAAGGTCTCCAATTATCAATACAAGCCCCTTTATTCTGTATTTTCTCCAAGGAGAGCAATGTGACATGGTGGTGGCCTTTTATCTGAGAAGGAGACATTCAAAGTGATCAAAGTGGCAAAAGCTCAGGGTTCTACAGAAAGTGCACTGAGTTTCTTCGACCTCCGGTGTCTGGCAGCCACCTTCTCCCCCTCCTGGTCTGAGACACAGCAGTGGCTAGGAATGAGTGCGCCAGGGAGAGAGAAGGGGGCTCCTCCCAGGAGGCACGGGCCCAGCGCAGCCCAGCTCAGCACTGCCTCTGCCGGAAACGCAGGCTCACCTTCTTATTGGGAACCAGGACAATGCGGGCCATGCTCCTCACCTCCCCTGTCTCGGGGGCCAGGACCACCTCATACTGCTGGATCAGCTGGGAGAGAACGCACGCGGGGCGTTAGAATCTGCCATCTCTATCCACTGCCCTCCTTTACATGCTCCTCCCCCTGGTCTCCACCAGCCCTGCAGCTTCTCCCCACTCACCCTCGACAGCAGCAGCTGCATCTCCAGCTCCGCAATCCTGCGGCCCAGGCAAGCCCGGACCCCATAGCCAAAGGGCACAGAGCCAAATGGATGCTGGACCCCAAGGGCAGCAGGCTGGCTCTTCCTCAGCCAGCGGTAAGGCTGGAAGCTCTCTGGCTGGGGGAAGATGTCAGGGTCACGGGACACCACATAGTG